GCACGCTTGCTTTCTACTGTACATAAATATGGGGGTGAAGGGCTAGAGTCACCTTTCGGTGTGCGGCAGCAAATGGTTTCCAGGCTGTGTTAGAAATGGCTACTCTGCTGAACCAATTCCTTGTATAGAAGAATTTGCATCCCCCAAATTTCCTGCTCCAGCAGTTGAACTGTGTGGTTTCCTCCTGTCCACCACTAGAGGCTGCTGCATACCTCATTAAATAAACAGACAAACATGACAATTAATAAAAGAAGTGGACACAAGGTGCAGCTAGAACTGGGACTGGAGGGCAGCGGTCCCACGCAAACTTCCAGCTCCACTGACTGAATAGCCTAGACCCATTAGGTGTCATGTCACTGCAAGCTCCCCTCTCCAACCAGAGCTTGCCCTTGAGCTGCTGTTGGAGCAGGGAGGTCGCTGAGAGCTGAAGTCATAAGCTACACCTTATGGGCCAAAAGTAATTCTCCGTTTCCCAAGTGTAAATCAGCGCTAGCAGTGTTAATCCAAAGTTACACTGTCATGACTGAGAGCAGCATTTAGCCTTATACTTTTAAGTGTGCCAGAAGATGTACACACCTCATTAACCCCCAGAAATTAATGCCCCTTAACAAATTCATTTTAATCGAAAGATGCCAGAGGTAGGACTAAAACATGGGTCACCTTTATAATCCCTGGTGAAGATGGTCTGCGAGTGAGGTGACAGGAACAGAGCTGCGAGCGAATGCTAACACAAGCTCTTTTAAATGTTACCTGTGTCTTTTCCGGCCGGTACTTCCTTTCATATGTTTCCTGTGAAGATTGGCCTGGTTTATGAGCAAGTTGGATTCCTTTGTCTCTGCATTGTTGGAGCAGTAGGCGTTGTTCAGCTGGCACCCTGGAAATTCGTTCCCTCTCACCTTTGGTGAAAAGACACACTCAGGTAAATAGCTGCTGTATCTATCCATTTTGCCAGGCTCGACGCTATCAGAAAGTGTTGGTTTGTTCCTATAAGTTACACCAAGAAGACCTAGTTTGTTATTCATCTCAGCTCTGCTGTGAGCTTTCTGCTGCTTTCACAGAACAATATACAACTTCATTCAAGCATGCTATTGTTGTTGTCTGCCCGGCACTTTAGGCTGCTGTGTGGGGGAACGTTTTATAGGCTCAACATTTACAGTAAGTAAATACCAGCATTTTCACCAGCCTCCTTCCCCCTCTTCCTCAAGCTCAGACTTGATGTCCCCCACTTTGCCACCACCTCGATCTTAGCCTGCAAAAATTATAGCCTTGCTGTAAATCAAGCATTGCTAACCCCAAAGAGTGCCCATAGCAGCTGTGCTTAGATTTTTGTTTTACATTTTTCATCCGTGATGCTTGCCCACTTTTTGTTCTGCACTTAAAAGAAAAAGGCAGCAAACCCTACCTATTGCCGCATAAAGCTTAGCTGCTGCATGTCACCATCCATTATAAGGCATGTGCTTCCTCTAAAAAAGACAAAACAAAAAACCCCATCAAAGGTGCTCATCAAGCCCCTGATTCCCATAGTATCTGATTGCCTCACAATCTTTAATGTATTTATTCTCACTGCGCTTCTCTGACTTAGAGAAGTGCTAGTTTTCCCATCTTGTAAACAGGCACTGAAGACGCAAAGGGCATGATTACGCCTTTTGCTCGCCATGCTGAATCACACCGGGATGCTCCATATGTGTTACCTCCTGAACTGGAAGCGGTGTTGTAGTTACGTTCATAAGAAAGAAAGAGCGTGCAGCACCGCACTCAGGTAGCCACACTGCTTTGTTATAGGAAATAGTGCACCCAAAGCACTACCACATGGTATAGCGTGATGCAGCCTGGCATGGTGAGGAAGAGGGAGAGGCAGGGGCAGAGCGCCCCTGATTGCACAGTCATCTGCAGCAGGGCAGGTGATGAAGCTCATCTCTGCCCAACCATCTTGACTCCTCTTTTTGAGACGGTGCCGTTTTGTGAGTTAGACTTGCACACAGGAACTCTACTGTCATAGTCATTGTAGGACTTCTCTGCTCTGGATCCAGCTGCAGGCCCCAATCCCAAACTTTCAAGGTTATTAACCTTAATGTTGGGGTATCAATTCCCATTGCCGTTGCTTCCATCTGAGGCTTGAAAAACCTCACCCGCCTCTCTGAGAAATGCATGGCTGTGCAAGAGGATAAAAGGGGAAACAGATAGATGTTAAGTGAGATGGCCAGGGTCATGCAGCAGGTGTGTTACACAGCCAGCAGAAAAAAACCCCACTAGATTTCTTTATTTTTTGCCCATAGAATCACCCTTCTTTTTAGAAAGGCATCCAGATGAAACCATCCCATGATGATCCAAATGAAGCCACAAGGGGAAAAACTGGGAGTTGAGTGCAAAACTAGAGGTTGCAATGGAGTAGCCCTGTGAGTTGGGACAGGTGAGCGTCTCTCCATATTCTCCTAGATGGAACCCAGGAGATGCACACACTAAGAGGATTTTGGCCAAGCAATGCATCCCCATCTGAGTTTTCATTATTAGTGCTCTGATTTATGATCTGTACCTGTTACCCACTTGATTGCTCTTGCATATTACCGGCACATCCAAGTAGAACGCACTTGCTGTATTGCTGAATTTATCACCTCCTCTTTAGATTTCTACTAGTATCAGTGGGGATTTTTGTAGGGAAAGTAGAGCGGCCCTGCATGCGACAAACCTGCTGCGCAAGGGTTAAAATTTGAGATGGGTCTAGTCCCATACACTTTGGGCCTCGGAGAGCGGGTGTTTGAAATTTGAACCTAAGCAGCTTGAAACATGAAGAATTGTTCACACAAGCCATTTGCAAAATGAAACTCGCAGAGTCTCGTCTCTGTTGTCAAGTCTTGCCAATGTGCACTCAGTAGCTCCCTTTGATCTCTTATACAAATAAGAGTTACCAGCTCCAAATGACAATTAGGAACACACAGCAGCAATACGCTTAACTTGGAGAGAACATTCAGGACTGCAATTGTGTTGTGGAAATCCATAGAAACACCACTGAATTCAAAGGCCAGACCCTCAGTGGAGTGGAGTCTATTTGCAGCAGCTGAGGACCTGGGTAGTCACCTCACTGTTTAATAAAGACGGTGCCATTTGACTTGCTTGACAAAAAGAGAATTGGCAAATAAAATGTGACACATCAAACCTTTGGTTCTCAAAGGCAGGGATTAGCAAGAGCATAAAAGGGCCCAGCCGGGGTACATGAGGGAAGAAGACACCCCAGGGGACTAGAGGCTCTGTGAGTTTCCTGTTTTATTTCAGGGATTTTGGAGTAGGATGGTTTGCTGTTATGCATTTTAGTAATTTTATGTACCTGCTGTTTTAAAGCACCAGAGGGAACTATGATGTTCATTCCACATGTGAGATTATAAAATGGTGAAGTGTGCGTTTGCGTGGTCTTGGCAAGTAATGTCTTCTTTGGAGAGCTGGCTCATGGAGTGGCAATTAGAAACAAGGT